TAAATCTTATAGATCTGCCAAGCGACCAATTCAGTAATCTGGAACTACGATTATTTCGATGGCTGTGTCAGATTTTGTAAATTGATATCAGATATCACATCTTGAACAATTATGTTGAATCTATGAATTGTAAGCGCACAGGTCAATGGCAGAATTAGATGGTGTGCAGGGCCATTTGTGATAAATATATAGCTTCATCTCGTACCTTGGCCTTCATCTTTGTTGTCATCACATGTATTTTATATGAAAGAAGACAACTTGTCGTTTCATATCGATGAACAATGTTATGATTACAGGTGCCATCTGATCCTGAAATCGTCAGATGGTTTTGAAGTTTAGAGAATATTTTTCAAGTATGATTTATGATGATTAAGTTCTGGCAGATGTAAACGTGCTATATGGCATGGGCAGATGAAAACGAAATTTGCTTGCCACTTAAATAACTCTTAACTGACGATAAGCTTCCGAGGGGGGGGGGGTAAAAAGGTAAACAGGTCCACACGATCTCCAGGGGGTCGAAAACTGCGAAATATTCGGGCGGTGTAGGGCTTTACGCGAAGAGAGCATTCTTTCTTAAACGGCTGTCAAACGCAAGACCATGAGAGGGGTTTATTACGGTTCGGCACATAGTGTATGATTCCCACGTTAACCACTTAAAAGCATGTCGTTGGTGTCCTATGAAGTACAGACCACGCAGATGGAACTGCGTACATTGACAGAGTCTTGATTTCGAATACAGCCGCACTTAAATAACAGCAGTGGAAGACTGGGCAAGGCGGCACCGCAAATGAGATGGGCACCTCTCCTAGAACTCGTACTACTGTTGCCACCTAATCAGTACCCACTGTCGGCTTTTCAAAAGTAGGCATTTTATGGAGACACACGATGGAACCAGTTGTTTCCTCTGTTTTTCGTTAGAGCTTCTGGAAGTTATAAATAAACGATGCATCATACTGCAATACACATAAGTAACGGTGCATACTCACAGCACTGGCCCCATGATTCTGTTTCGTACATGGGCCTTGGTTAGGCATCACATTTTTACCGCAAACAGCGGAGTTTTGGAGTGTGGCGTTCAATGTTGCCTTCAACGTTGGAGCGCAAAGATGTGAAAACATCACAGGTGGCGCAGGTTATCTATAAACTAACATCTATAAACTACATTCAGAGACGTAGACATCAAGACATTTATCAACAACGGCACACCCAAGTATTGCGAGCGCTATTGTGTTTACCTCTTTGTCGTAGGATTCAGTAGTTGTATTCAGGACGTTGTAATTTACCAAGTTCATTTGAAAATAACGATCTTTAATATGTCTTGTCTTCCCTGACACAGCTCTGGATAGGTGTAAACTTGCATTTTGCGCACCCACGCTGTGTAAGCTTGCATAAATATTTCATCCTTGAAGTGTCCTGACTATAAGACCAGTGATACAATGCTCTTTCAACAACTGACGACTTTACGCAGGCAGAAAAGTATGCTAACTGTGACATGTGGAAAGTCTGTCTTGTTTTCCCCTTGGGACGGGATGTTTTGGAACGCTTGCGGAAAAATGTGCTATGTCACGAACAGTTTCTTGATTTTCTCTCTCCGCAATAGCAGGAAGTTGTTGGGGTTTACCTTAGAGACGCAACTTTTCGCAAAATGTCAGCTCCGCCCTCTCCGGCCCACTAGGGATGTAACCTGCAAAAGTCTGCCATGCTGCCATGTTGGCCTGGCGTTAACAAGTAAGCATAGGGTTAAGTGTCATTTGTAATTTGTTTTGGTTCTTAATTTAGTGCTATACATGGAAACTCGCATGACATGCCATGTCATTGTAATTCAGCGCACAACACTGTTTTCCTTGCACCAGTGGTGTTGCTTAGAGAGCAGTGATAAAGGCACCTGCCCGAATTGTGGAATTTCTTCAGCCCCAAATTACATTTCAAACTCTGTGATGCCAATTTCCAACTTCATATGAAAAGGGAGAGGGTGGATTCTGGTATGGTACCTCGCCAAAATACACCAGCAATTTTACCTCTATACCTCACCTCAGTAAAGATTAGGCTAGGTCCTCTACAGTTACACGCATCAGCTGATGGCTTAGCACTGACAGAGAGTAAAGAATTCGTGGATATTTCAAATTATGCGTGGTGTTCTCAGCTGAATACACTGTACTCGAGCACAAATAGTATACGCTGGCTACCTCACAGCATTCCAGTGCGCCACAATAGCCGTAATGTCATAACTCATACTCAAGAAAGAAATCAGCCTTTTATGATGCTTGTTGTGCATAGGCTAAAACATCATGAAATAACAAAGAATAAGCACCTTGATGCGGCTTTGAAATGATCCACATTTTCCTCTTGCCCGATTCATGCTTGATCTCAGAATGACCGTCATCACGCCATTTGTGATGCGACGCGCAAGGATTGCAACAGCATTTTATCCAAGAACCTTGTTTGTGCCACTACGAATGTGGTGTTATTTGCATGAATAATACCCAAAAACTGTGAGATGTTGTGAAATGCAAAAACGATATTTTTACGGAAAGAAACACTGAGCAAAGTATCTCTAAGACATCCGTTTATCCTTCACATAGACATCCGTTTGCCCTTCACCTACTGCAATGTTCGGATCTATGTCAAACGTTTCAGTGACGTCACATGCTGAAATACAATTTTGGGCAGACTTGTGTACAGGTAACGGAAGAGATAGCGAAAGCAAACAGAACAATACGTTGGAATTTAATGACGGCGGCAATGATGGTGACACTCATCATACGCAAGAGCTCCCAATATCGTGCCCGCAAATGACATGTTCTTGTACATACGGAAAAGTGCCGACATAAATCGACAAATTATACATTTCCACTTTCACATTTTAAAAACTGCTCCTTGCGCATGCGATACACAAGCACGTGCAGGCTGCACTGGCCAGTGAGCCGGTCTGGAGCAATGAAAACAACGCGGTTTCTAGGTTATGGATGATGATACTGATACTGCTTCTGAGGTATGATTTGTGTATGAAATATGAAAATTGAAGTGCACCTCACCCCCATATTGCTGTACTTGTGTATGTGATCCACTTAACTACTAGTCAATGACGTCAGTCCCAGGTATGAAAATTTTCTTTTTTTCTTGACTTTCCGGTCTCATGTGCATGCCATTGTTCAATTCGCGTACCCTGATTTACTGGTCTATAGGCCACTTCGTGTGCTTTTTGTCATTAGAACCCTTGCTATAAAATCAAAGATCGATTGTTCTCATTACTGTAGACGTATGTCAGGGCACTCTGAATTTGTGAAAGGTTTAAGTCTATACGCTAGTAAAAATGCATGGTTTTGCTTGCTAAAATCTTTAACCACCGCAAGCTGCCCAAATAAGGCCTATAACCCAGTCAGCTCGCGAATTCTTGTCGAGTCGGATTTAGCGGCGAGTTGACAGGTTTAAAGGTTGCGTCTCCAGCATGCAACATGCGCTTAAGACGGCATTCGGACGCGATCCCCAGAAAAGCCCTCCCTCCCCCCGTGCACGAATTGGGTGTCTTTCCGCATCCCTCCTACCAATTATCTAAATACAATATCTCGGATGCCGCAGCGGATATGGTGTCAGGTAAAATAATGAGAATCAACATGGAATCTCGGGGTTCTCTGGCACGGTCATAACCTGTAAACCCACATTTGTGTTAGTTTTGGATCACCTATGTGTTGTTTCTATTGCACATTTGAAGACATCATGGTCATTAATGCCGTTTTAGTGCGCTGACGACAGCGCCGACACAAGCAGGGTATGGGGCCTCGGTCCGACCGGTCTAGAGATCTAGCTCGAACACGAAGCTTTGAAATGAGCTTAGACTCGGATTAGCTCACTTCAGTACAGGCGAATCAGATTTTATCACGGATCTCACGATCAATTCGGGTTTGAACTCGGACCGGGCAGTTCAAGGCAATGTTCCACCTTAGCGAGCATTTAATGATGCATAAGAAACGTTCATCCAAGCATGCGTAGTACGTATGATCACTGCGCAGATGGTTCCACCCTTTTGCATCCAGAGAACCTAGGCATGACAAAGTTCCAACACAAATACAACTTAAGCCTTTTCATTTCGTACTTTTCAGAGGAAGAGAAAATGCAGTCAACTCCAGGCGAGCGCATTCGCGAAATATCTCAGGCTGTGCTGGTCTGGATAGCGCAAGTTGGATGCTGTTTATGGCTGTTCAATGGGAATTTCGATTCGATTTCCTCTCTGTGGAATCGTGTGTACACCCTGCGTATTAGAATGGAGTTCTCTGATGCTAAAATAGTCATTCACGAAAGGCAATTAACACCAAAAGACATCCAACACCGAACACACAGCACACTCAGATATTACACCCAGAGACAGCTTTGCAGTCAGTAGAACAACCCCATACCAACACCGATTGCTAAGAAAACAGAGGACGCTGATCGTCTGGCTTGATAGCTTGGGTACCGTGCTGTTGTGGTGGGTTTGGAAACAGCCGATCTGCTGTACGGAGAGGTTGCGACCACGAGACCTCTTCGTGGCTTCTCGTGCCGGCTGCTGAGAGCGGATAGCTATCTGCCAAAGCCATCTGCGTTTTGACCATGACACTTCTTTCAGATTCCGATGGCTCGTCGTGACATTCCGCCGGAAGCGCGGCGGGCTGCAGAAGACTGGACGCAAACCGTGTTGCGGTGCGTCGGCCATCTGGGTCAAGGTCCCCACCTCTCCGACCGCCACTTTCAAGAACAGCCGGACAGCCGCGGCAAACTTTCCAGGGATGCCGTCCGGAATTCCCGGCCTCACTCCTACATACCCTCCACTGGAGGCGCGTGCCGTACCGTTCCCGCCTGCTCCCTGGGCCCATACACCTCAGTCGCCGTCTTCAGAAACCTGCCAGCGGCTGTACCCGCGTGCCGGCCGCCGCCGGGCCCGCTGTGCCGGTGTCAGAGGCCGTACGGCGGGGTTTTCCTCGCCCCTACGTCACGCCGGACCGACCGGAGGCGGCTGGCCGGCGTATTATAGCGACCGGTCGGCACCCGTCTTCAGTAGTCGCAGGCAGACGGGCCTCACAGCGCACGCGGTGGTTTGGAGTGCCTCGGCTGCAGCGTTCGCAGATCACCGATCGAGAGAAGGTGAGCGGCTGTGTGCCAGTCGTCTGCGCTGCTGGAGTGTGCCGTCGCCAGCAATACGTCTGTCCCTGCTGAGCATACGTGTTGATGCGGTAAATTTTGCAGGTGAGCGAGCTGACTGATATCTAGCCAGTGGCGCACATTTGGACGAGATAGTTCAGCTGGCCATCACTTTATGTATGGTTGTATGTCATTTTAAATGTAATCAATTTCTTCCCGATATGTTACTTCCGTAATTCACCTTCGGCTTCTTTCATACTATTCTGCCACTGTCATTTCCACACTCGTGTTATTCCCAGCCGTTTGGTGCAACCATAAATTCCAGCTTACGGGCAAGGAGCCCGGTCCTTTTCGAAGCGGATTCCTACCTTGCATTATCATCGCATTAGTGTTAAACTTTTCACAAAAAGTGGGACGACCGTGAATCCGGTTCCCAAGCGTATGGACGCAACAAAAGTACAACGATAACTGCTTTTACCCCTAACTTATCTGTCTTCATGCTATTCCCTAAGGGCAATGCACCAACATAGTCTTGTTTAGCGTAAGGTTGCTGGAATTCGGTCCCAGTGGCCTCAGTTGTGGTCATGCTTATACTTCAGCTTTTCTGGATGCTCTTATTTGTTCCAGAATGGTGATTATTTGGAAAATCAGTACCATCTAAACATTTTTTTATACACAGGATAAATAGATGAGCGGTGAAACACTGTTCTTTGCGCTTGCTACCTCACATCGTACTGATAGCACCTGAATGGTAGCCGAATGTCAGTGCGTCTTACGAGTCATTGTCTTTCTCTAAAAGTTTCACCTGTCTGCACTCATTTCTTTGCCTCTATATCTGCATTGACGGACATTTTCCTCTGTAAGAATGTCATGAAACTGGACAGTTCAGAAACATCCGTGTAAACAGACTGACTGCTGGCCGTGAAAGGCCCAGCACAGGGTAACGGCTTGCCCGCATTCCGCGGTGCCGCTTTGTGACGTCACAGTTCACGTCGGAGATTTTGAGCTATTGCCAGATGCTATCACTTTCCGCGTGGAGGCCGCACATGTTTTGGCGCGGAACGGACCTGCACGCGCCCCGCCTGTCTGACCCGCACCCGGCAGCTTCCGGACTGCGGGGTCGGCAGGGTGCCTGTCGGCGTTAGCTGACCTTCGTCCGCGCGGCGGATAACCGGCTTTGCATTTGGGCCTGGTGTTTCCGACACCTTTGTTGGTGCTTGGTGGCGCTAAAAACGACGCGGGGGCGGGCAGGCTGCCGTGACTGCAGGAAGTGAAAAAGACTGACTGTGGATTGTAGAAAGAGCGCCGCCGTCAGCGAGTCAGACTCAGGGAGATTGCCCTTTGATGAATACGACTTAGGCGATACGGCCGCTCCTTTTCAAAGAACAGTTAAGTCTCTGAAATTTCCAGTAGAATCGCCACTGAAAGCCAGTCCACGAAATTGCATGCGGTGAAACGAAATGGTGTGCCTTTTTCCAGGAAACAGTCGCTTCTGTCCGCTTCCATTCAAATTTGTCATGAAGCTTCAAGCGTGGGTGTTTTTATTCCGCTCTGGCGTGCACTAGCCAGAAGTCTTGTTTGCACCACGACTTTACCCAAACATTCTGTTTCGGCGTTTTGTTCACGCAATGCTGTGGCTTCATGACCGAGCGCTATGCTTTTGAAGCTGCAGGCTTATCTTTGTTTGCCTACACGTGCCTCTCTTAAGCTATAATTGCCGAGGGACCCTGTCGTCACACGTCTCCACCTCGGAAACGCTTCCAACGAAGCGTGCTGCCACGTGTTGTCTGTAAGCACCACCATGCAATCAGTCGGGCACAATGCGCATCCACGCATCCGGGCACGTGCGCGTGTTTTTCCTGCCGCGATCCTGCACGGTTTGATGACTGCAGGCTGACGGCGTTTTGGTATGATGACGTCAACGTAACGCTCGGTTGACGCCGGCGCTCGTGGTTCGGTGCTTGTTCTGTGATGTCGTCACCGAGTGCTAGGCTGCACAAGAGTGCTGCAGTTACCCGCGAAAACCCGCCCGGAGTTCCCTAATCTTCTCGCGCCAGCGCGGCATGTGCCTACGAGCTGCTCTTACTTAAGCATGGCGGTGTTCTTGCTCTTACGATGCCTTTTAATCTTTTTGAAGCTTTCTAACTCTAAAACAATAAGCGACGTCATGCAGAGGACAAGAGACGAGCAGTTATCCCCATGAATGGCATTTTGCTAACGCTATATGTATGAGGGTTTTACGACTAGATATTCCACAATCGCATTGAGTTTAAAATGAGATACCAGATTGCATTACATTGTCAGATCTGCACGACCTGCCAAAATACTAAAATAAAATGCATGCTAAAATACCAAACCAAAGACCAAAAAGACTCTTTTGTACGATGTGAAAAACCGTTAATTTTGGATTCGGTTTCGTTATGAATCGATTTCCAAGATAAGATCATCAGCATCAAATGTATTGCCTTCTTTCAGACTGTCCCAAGATGCGGCTGCAAGCTGTGATTCTTGCGTGCTTGGCGGCTGCGTGTGGAGCCGAACAGCGCACGAAAAGACAAGGTAAGCTATCGAACGCTCCTGAGTTACAAACACCCTGCCCGCCTCTCAACACACGTGCTCTGGACAAGCACGCGAACAAGACAGCCACTAAGCGCCTCCGCGTTTGCAGACTGCGCTGTTCAGTATACATCGCACACTGCGTGTTGGTAAAGCACGATGCCTCATCCTCAGCAGAACGGCTTGCTGATTACCCGATTCCAGCCTTTATCTCCGCACTCCACCCATGTGACTGAAACTGTCCGTCGGCACGGGAACGAGCACACTAAGCCCGACGCAGTTGAGGTCCCTCGCGTCCGAACCGAGCGTCCTTTCCCGTCGCGAAGACGGAGCCAGACGGTCCGAGCGGGCCGTCCCACGAGGTGGCGATCAAACCTCAGCTCGTCACAGGGCGCCGGGCGCCTACACGGCGTCTAGCCGGGACCCGGCTGATGCGCTCCTCACAGCCTTTATCGCGTGTTCGAGGGATCTTGACCCGGATGGCTGGCCTGGTTTCAACCCTAAAGCCGGCGCGAGATTGTGGAATGCTGTCTACACGGACACTTACGTGTGCTGGGGGTAGGGGAGGGCATACGGTGTGCTGGACAATGGTTATGCTCTAAACGTGCTAAGGCTCAAATTTCTACGACACAACACGTCCATAAGGTTCTTTTTTAATATTTTCAAATGCATTAATTATGGATGGTTTGCATGGGAGGCGTTGGGTTCAGAGTGCCTGAGCGCGGCTCGTTTCACTTAGCCTTAATCCCCAACTAGATCGTGCTGCTTAATGCAATGGGAATTTTCCGTTTGACCTTTCGCCTGACCGCGCAACAAACATGGGAGGCACCTTCGCCTTGAGTCTGGTTCGGACCTCGTTGGCCGGTTGTCAGTTCAACTCTCCACATCAGTCGGGGCCAAACAGCGCACACGCTCTGGAACCCGTACCCCGCACCCCGGGTCCCGAGATCACCAGCTCAGCTTCTTTTCTCCACACCACAGCGTCGGCCATCTGGTAATCCGTCAAATTCAGCGTCCTAAGCTCTAAAGCCCGCAACCACATCATAATATTTGCTCATTGAGGTCACTGACGCGACGATGCCACGTGGATGGCCTCGCTCATCTCGTCCCGTGACCCCGCTCGTCCCGTCCCGTGACCTCGCTCTTTTCGTTCCGTAACCTTGCTCGTCTCGTCCCGTGATTTCGCTCGTCTCGTCCCGTGACCTCGCTTGTCCCGTTCCGTGACCTTGCTCGTGCCGCCCCGTGACCTCGCTCGTGCCGTCCCGTGACCTCGCTCGTCTCGTCCGGCAGCGATCGTGTTCGGCACCGAGCCGCAGGTGCTGCCGGCCACCTGTAAGGACTACGCCAAACGGCCTGGCCGCTGCAGCACGCTGCGCGACTGCCCGGCCTGGCTGCAGATCGTCTCCAATAACCCGACCACCGGCGACATCAGCAACCTGCGCAAGAGTCTCTGCCAGCCGCCGGTAATGGACAGCGCAGGGAGCGAGCGAGGCCGGCGCACACGGGCCAGCGGGTGCACGGGACATGGGAGAGGGGGAGGGGATGGGGGGGACGTGGTGATGTGAGGCTACGCTTAGTCCGCCCGGAGGTGGCCGCCGAGCGCGGTGTGCGACGAGGAGAAAACTCCATTGCGCCTGCAGCGTTTTTAGCTTTAGACAATAACGCAGGAATGCATTGTTTCATGCATTTTTCCCACGTGCTGCCCACCGATTTATTTGGGTTGCCTAGTTCATGAAAGAAGTACATTCCACTCACGTTGCTTCGCCATTTCAGCAAGGCATACCGCTGGTCTGCTGCGCGTTCGATACGCCAGACCAAACAGCGGTGCCCATCCAGCGTCCAACGCAGCGACCCACCCGGCGTCCCACCCAGCAGCCAACCCAACAGCCTACCCCGCCGCCGGCACCCTCTGAAGACAACCGGGAGCCTGAGCAGCACCCGAACCGCCGCCTGCTGCCCACAGACAACTTCTGCGGCATCAACATCCACGACCGCATCGTGGGCGGCGAGCAGGCGGACATCGGAGAGTACCCCTGGCTGGCGGTCCTCGGCTACGAGGGTGAGTGCACCGGCCCCGGACGCCCTGGCCAGGCCACAGTCGGCCGGCGGTGTCGGCTGCCGGTGCTCTGCCGGAGTCCAGAAGGCCGGCTGTGGTGGAGCAGGACGTTGGTCGGTCTGCGAACGACTCAGGGAGCTCAGCTGGCAGATGTCCGTTTGGGAAGGGTAATTGATGCATTGCTTCGGCAAACAGCGTAAGCGCCGCGTCTGGGGTTCACGGGAAAACAGCAGCGCGACTGCCTGTCTGACGGCACCGGGGTTGTGTTCCACAGTGGTGGGCACGGGCGACACTGAGTTCAACTGCGGCGGAACCCTCATCAACGACTGGTACGTGGTGACGGCGGCCCACTGCGTCACGAACCTGCCGTCCGACTACCGGCTCAGCACTGTCCGTCTGGGGGAGCACAATCTGATCACCAGCCCCGACTGCCAAGAGGTAAGCAGCTGCTGCAGCGATGCATGGTGTGACTTGCTGCTGCCGGTGCCGTTGGCATGCGCTTGGGGGCCACGCGACGCTATCCGTCCTGGTCAACGCGGGCGCTTGCCGGACACTGCCTCCTCGGACAGCAGAGGTCGTCCACCAGACTATGCATCCGCTGATGACCGATCCTGGTCGCGTTTGGCGTAAGAGCTTAGCGTTGCTGCGTTTTCGGGGTTTACGTACAGAGCAGCTCATCTCGTTACGTGTTGTTTATGCTCAGCTTGCGAGATGCGTCCAGGGCTCATGCATTCGCGACTATGCCGAAATTAGCGCGTGCAAGAGACGTTCACTGGCGTCCTAGCACCAGCGGACTATGCTCGGTAGCGTCCGCCCGCCGCTAGGTGCTGCGTGACCCGCCTGTACCCTGCCAGCGTTTGTAGGTCGAGGCTTGTGGTGAGAATTTCCTCAGGATGCCTCCAATGTCAGGGCCTGTGAGGGCCGGTGAGAGGACCGATGAGAGATCAGTCCTAAGCCGAGGTCAAATCACCGCAGACCAAGCGAGCTGCACAATGGCATTAACCCTAATTGAAGTGCAGTGCATGTGTTTTTTTTTCTAAACGGATATCAATTGTGCTGTAGCTTGCTAGCAAAGTGCATGAAGTACGTGCATTAGAAACAGTGTACTATACCACCAGCGAAGCGTTTCATTCCTGTCCGTAAAACATGTGTCGAACCCAGCGAATTTCTGTACTTGTTCTTTCTGTGCACGAAATGTGTGTGTAAATAAGTTCATTTTAACTATTTCGTATTCATTATGCAGACGTGTTGCGCCGTTGGTTAGACATCTGAGTCACACTGGCAACAACGTGTGCTTCCTCCACTTCATGCCGGCTGACCATATCGCCATTTGACCCAAACTCACCTCTAGCCTCAGCCGAGCTGACCCGAGCCGACCGTTTCAGAGAGATGGCTTGAAAAGTTGCTCCGAACGCGAGCAAGACTTCACGCCCGTGGAGGTGCTCCCCCACCCAGATTACAGCAAGCCCAACCGGTATTGGAACGATATCGCCCTACTGCGACTGGACAGACCCGTGTCCAAAAATGGTGAGCACGCGGGAACTACGGGAGTGTCAGCGAACGCCGGCGGTGGAGTATTTCAGGAAGCGTGGCCATGCCAGGCTCTTTGATTGGTAGCAGTGCCAGATGCAAACTGCGCTATCCGGTTGATCTGGTCGGCCTCTCCGAACACTTTGGTGGAAGACGTTTTTCAGAGGCAGTTCACAGGACAATCGTCTTTATAAGGTGGCAGACAGGGGTAATCCACGATGTCAGACGGCCCTGGCCCTTTCTCACTCACTCTTCATACCTTGGCAAACGAGCACACTTGATACAACCTCGTCCGGTATGATCAAAGCAGCAAGGAGGTTGTCGTTCGATTTAGCTGTAAGATTTTTTAAACGTCAGGGGCCCCGAGACGTGAACGACGCGCCGCGAGACGCGCGCCTGGCTCAGCGTCCAGGCTCTGTCTGAAATTCTGCCCATGGGCTCCCGTCCTTCGGAATGCGAGCTTTGCGGTGTCATGGTCTGGGTCCGTGGTGTTTCATCACACGCCTCCCGGATCCGGTCTGGCGAGGCGGTCAGGTCGCACACCACATCAGGGTCATGGCCTGAGGCGTTGACGCGAATGGCCCCGCGGATTAGGGACATGGTTGGACGGCTCTGGTCGTTGCCTGGCAGCTGTGAACCACCTAGTCACGTTTGTTAGCACGAGCAAATTTTGACACGTCGAGTATGGCACTGTCATTGAGACAGTGAAGACGGACTCATTTTGCCGCTGAAACCACGTTCCATTTGCATAGCTGGTGTGCTGGTAGTTTCGACACGATGTTAATAATACGTTGGACGGTGCATTTGCGCCGGCCTGTGCACGTTGTGCGCTGCCGAAAGATGATGTTGAGGTGCGCAAACTTTGCATTTCCCAGAATAACTGCACAAGAGCTTCTGTTGTCTCCAAAGTGGGCGTACTTTTTGAAGGAATTTGTGAAACCCTTGATGCAATCTGTATTCCCATGCTGCAAATGCCGTCTGCAACATCCCAAGTTACCAAAATAAGCATACAGCAGCTTTCAAGTTCCCCACAGTCTGGTCTGGCTGCGGCGGCACAAAACACAGCCACGTGTTAAATGCCACCAAACACGGTCTGGTCACGCAGTCCGCCTGCGCTTAAATCCACTTCCCCACGTTAATGTGATTGGTCGCAGCATCACACGAGTGCAGAACCACTTGCACTCTCGTAACGACGGACAATACCGCAACACAGCGCCTGCTGCTGAGCAGAGAATGCCTGCGTGGTTACCAAGGTCAGCCGAGTTCAGTGGCGAGTCACCGCGCTGCTCAGAGCCCCCGGCTCCACCAAGGCCGGCCGGCGGCGCAGCGCGTCTGCATGCGTCATCGCCGCCGGCGCGTCGAAATGTGCCATCGCCGCCGGGCGTGTCTGACCGTGTCGTCGCCGCCGACAGCTGGTGTCAGCCCCATCTGCCTGCCGTTCGGAGAGGCGCGCACCCGGGACTACACCGGCAGCAATATGTGGGTGGCCGGCTTTGGACTCACCGAGGCCTGTGAGTACGGCAGCGCGCAGGGACTTGTGGTGTCCGGACATCGGTCATGAGGCCGGTCACCTCACGTGGACTAAAGTTTTGAACGAGTTTTATCTACGTGCCGGTTTTTGTTTCGTTTTCTCTGTCCATCATTGCCCTTTCTGCTCTCTTTTCGGGTTCCTTCGTAACAGGTGCATGCTGGGGTGAGGCTGCAATGCGTCATGACATTTTGCTCCACCTGGGCGTGGGAGCTGAGAGCCTCTGTCTTTGCGCGACGCGAAGGCAACCAGCCTGGTGTTCCTCCGAAATGTGTGCCATCAAAACCTCAAACTGATGGCTGAAGTCCATTTGAACCGACACGGCGGCCGCTTCCGTCGTGCCGCGTGTGCTCGCCGTCACCGTTGTGTGTCACAGCTGTCACTGTTGTGTGTCACAGCTGTCACTGCTGTGTGTCACAGCTGTCACCGCTGTGTGTCACAGCTGTCACCGCTGTGTGTCACAGCTGTCACTGCTGTGTGTCACAGCTGTCACTGCTGCGTGTCACAGCTGGCTGTGCGTCACAGCCATCACTGCTGCGCGTCACAGCTGTCAATGTTGCGTATCACTGCTGTGTGTCACAGCCGTCAGCCCTGTGTGTCACTGCTGTCACCACTGCTTGGCCCGTAAGGCGCGTCTGATCGCTCGTGTCCCGCAGTCGGCGACTCCAGCAACGTGCTGATGGAACTGCGCGTGCCGGTGGTCAGCAACCAGCGGTGCGCGGCCGTGTTCCGGCGGCAGCAAGCGCGGATTGGGCCGAAGCAGATCTGCGCTGGCGCGGAGAGGGGCCGCGACTCGTGCGCGGGCGACTCAGGCGGCCCCCTGATGGGCATCGATCGGTTCGGGCCGCCCTACCGCCTCATCGGCGTCGTCTCGTTCGGTGTCTCGCGCTGCGGCACGGCCGACGTGCCCGGCGTGTACACGCGGGTCAGCGAGTACCTCAACTGGATCTTGGACAACATGCGTGCGTAGCCGGCGTCGGACATCTGTGATACGCAGAGGGGCGGGCGCCGGGCGTCGTGTGCTCACCGGCGGCGTCCCGCGCTGGTCGGTCGAGCCACGCCGCCGCTGGTGGAGAGTGGAGGTCGGAGTGGATCGCCGGAGGAGAGCGGAGGTCGGTGTGGATCGCCGGAGGAGAGTGAAGGTCGGAGTGAATGTGCAGGGAGTGTTCGGGTTTGTCATAGTGTACGATACGAGATGTCGGGCATACTCAGAACGGAGCTCACTGCTGTGCCGTCCGCCGTTGTACAGCGCCGCCTGCGTAGAGGCGTCACCCGCCGGCAAGCGGTGTGCCGTGTTTAAGTTATGCCTGGTCCTGTACGGTGTCACACTGAACTATCATTTGGTGGTGATTGTTATGTGTCCTTTAATAAAATGGCCAATTGTGTATGGTATTGATTACGGTCTACTGTTCGCGGGAAAACGTGAGTCACGTTTTTAGATGATGGCTTTCGAACAAAGACATGGTATGAATCATTTTCCAACAGGCGCTCTGGGTACCGTGTGCCAAGCTTTCCTCTTGACGTTTATTAATAACAAACAAAGCTGAAGCGCAATCTTCACTCACCCTTCGTAATAAAACGACGCACGGAAAAGTTACCTGTGTGTAGGGCAAGCGTGGCGAATGGTCTCAGTTCACGGTCAGACTTCTCCCTCTCTTACCTTGTCTGACCCGTGCCTGACCCGGCGCTGTCAGACCCGTAACCGGTCATTCGGATTCCTGTAGCGATCACGGAAGTTCAGCAGCTGGCTGTATGGCGTACATGGCTGAAGTTGTCCGGAGAGGGCTTTAGAAATGGATTTAGGTTGGCACTGTTGTATGTCCACAACCGTAAAACAGCCCCTAACAAATCACAATGCCTGTGAATTGTTCGAAATCGTTAAAGAAACCTTTCTGATCATTTGCATAGCACTCGTTGATCATGCAACATGCAAAATAACCAGGCTGATAATGCTAGTGACCTATGGATAGTGACAGCCTGGTCCGGTGATAAAGGTCTGTTATACTCTGCTAAAACTAAGATAACCACCATATTCTGCTAACCATACTCAATTACACCTACAACACGCTCAGCTCACATGGAATAATCAAGCACTAAAGCATCACATAATCGGCATCATGTTGCATGATGCTCCCCGCAACAGCAACATCCACATGTGGTGATGCTGTTCGTGAGCTTCTATGTATGGTGTATGCAACCGGACCTGTGCTCCAGATTTCTAGAAGTGAAAACTGGATCATAGGTGCTCCTGGACCCGTGCTCCATCCGGGCGGCGTGTTCTTCCATATGCGAATATAACTAGTGTCGCCAACGAACTATGGGTGACGAAACGGGAGGGGAGGGACAATTACTTTATCTGTACTTTATGTAAATTTTACGTACTTTCGGAACGGCCCGCTCCCACCACCGGTGCCGACCTCAGCCCCCCCCCCCATCCAATGCTGCTATGAGGCCCCCCCTGCATTCGGCCAAAGTGAGAAAATATCGGGCAAGGAAAGGATTTTGGAAATAGCGGACACCCATGGTAAACATTAATTAATCTGGCGATACAATCGGAGTGGAGGGACGGGGGGGGGGGGGGGGGGGGGGGAGGGAGGGCTCGCTATTCACAATATCGGCTGCAACTTTCGCATCCCTTCTGAAGTAACATTTCATGATATCTTGTCAGACCCGACGTTTGCGTTTGGGTTATTTAGTATGTATCGGGTTTGTGCCTGTTTCTCACAGTTTTTGTGCATTTCAGATTTGGTACCAAATCGCATCCCTTTTTAATAACGCTGGCATGAGAAGGGCATATCTTGGCTTGCCACGTCAGTTCCATTATATGCTTTGTCAGTTCCAAATGCTGATATGCGTTTTATTGCAACATTTGGATCAGGCCAAGACATGTTCTCCTGAAGTTTTTAAAGTTAAGGAAACGAAGGTAGGTACACAAAATATGTCAAGAATGGTAAGTTTCTCATTCAATGGGATAACTTTTTTTATTCGCTTCATTCGTTTGCCTTAGGTTTTCTGGCAATTTATTTCAGTCCCCAGACAGGATCAAAATCACCGAAGTGACAAAGGGTCATTCACTGACCTGCGACCGGCGCGTCTCCGCAGTTGTGAGCCGCCGCTACCTCAGTCTGGGACGTGTCGCTGCCTGTTACCTCAGCCAAGTGCAAAAGGTCAATTTCGCGGCCTCGGTCATGTCGTCGGCGCGCTGGCATTTCAGGTCCTCGAATGGCCCCTGCTCCCCGATGGCGGTCCGGTCGCTTCCCACCCCTCGTGTATAAAAAAGTATTCAACTTTCCATTAGCTTGCGGTTTCTGACCAGACTGGTGGTAGATAGTATTAAAGATGTCCCCATGCTGACAAATTTACCGAGAAAACACCTATGCAGTGAGGTGGGGTTCCGTATGAAAGTACCAGATGGCCTTCCAAATTTAAGCATCCTTTCAGTTTGCCCAGCTTACAACTTGATCTGCAGCGTAACAGCTTTACGCATCCTTGACGCATCACTAGTATGCGGTTGGTTACTTTTACTGGTCACGCCTGAACCGGAGAGGGTAGGGGCCTTCCATCTGTCTCAATAGGCACCCAAAGAAGCATTTCTGCCCTGTTTGTATGTATGTTGCATGTACGTCATTTTGCGACATGCGTCAAAAGATTCTTATCACGATTTCGGACTTAATGTCAGGACAATTTGTTGGCTTCCAAACATTTTTTTTTTACTCACAACGCTGTTATCACTAAATAATTGGCAGCCAACCAACAAAAAGGCCTCATCAGCCCAACTGGAGCATGTTTAGGTATAGAGGGAAATTTTTTATTTAAAATTTGGTGTTATTCTTAATTGAAGTCCAGGATTCGAATATCTTATGTTTGCTCCAAAGGTGGACCAAATAAAAATATGAACTGTATTTTCGCTTAAATAAGTTCAAACTATGTGCAATTTGGTTTTCCATTTCAGTTCAGGCTCGTCTGAAATGCAAGAACACCACAAACAGGTTTGGCCATCAAATGGATATCATGAACGGCGCTGACCAGCTACCTATTTGTACTTACAATGAAGGGGCTGCTACTGCCAGTTGCAAGTCGTGTGCAAGGCTTTCATTTGGGTCTTTGTGACCGGGCTTTTTGCAATGGAATCGGTCGCCGAAGTCTGCGTAACAGGACTAAGACGCGTGGGATACAGTATTCGTTTTTTTAAGCTTGGACAAAGTGCATGGTTTGTACTCCCCAGGAATGGATGAGTGAAAGGAGCTAGAGAGGTGTCAAACACTTAAAACCCTGTCGCCGTATTACAAATTTATATGGGCTGTTAGATGCACCAGATACACTGTAATGCTAGCAATCAATTTTTGTTTTGTTTTTCAATGAAAACCTGTAATGACTAACCAGGGTTGACAAAGATTTGATTTCGCGTATCTTTTCAAAGCCCGGCGATCAAAGGCGATTGCGATCATATGGTGCCGGCGAGTTTGCCACATGGATTGTGTGCAGTTGTCAGTTTGAAAGAAAAAGGCTCAACTATGAGCGACGATGTAAGGGTGTGTTTTAACAATGAATCGACCAATTCAAATGGTGAAGTGTTTGTTCCTGGTTCCATGCCAAACTCAGGCTACTAGCCATATGTAGTGTCAGAGGCATCCTGCCGCCGACAACGCTGGCAGCTTGAGGATAGGCGTGCTGGAGCTTTCTTGCATTCTACTGAGCGTGGCCTCCTTTATATTCACAAAAATTCCACTTCTCGGGAGGACACTTTCAACTTGTGGCAAAGCGCTGGACGCGCTCTTCTGCGGCAGTCACAAAGGCGACCAGTCTTTGCATTATCTATCCTTTCAGTAATCAACATGCTTTCTGCGAAGGTTTTACAAGTTTAGCTGCCCTCCTATATATATATATATATATATTATTATATATAGTATATATATATATATAATATATAGGGGGTATTGGTTGTGTACACAACAACGAGAGAGAGAGAGAGAGACGAGCGAAGAGAGAGAGAGAGAGAGAGAGAGAGATATATATATCTATATATATATATGTATATCCGCGTTCACAAATATTGACGCCAGTCTCTCGTCCACAGAGTGTCAGGCATGTCGTTCTAAGTCTAAATCGTTCAATTGCCCCCCCCCCCCCCGACCAGATTCGATGGACGGAATGCTAAGAGACCTATATCGGGCTCATGTTAGGGGCAGGCCTCATGTTACTTATGTTTTGTCTGTGGATTACAACACATTCTGAGCTTTTTAAAATAATTGCAGCAGCTTTACAAATGGTTGTAATGGGCGTGCAGGTGCAATGCGATGTAATCGCATATGCAATTAAGAGGTGAAATAGGTAGCTTTCTTCGCAGCAAACCGAGTTTTTTCACTTGACAAACAGAATGCTACTTAGAAAATTTCGGACGTTAATCAGAGTGGCTAAAACTTGGCGAGGAATCACGTATTGCGGGTGTGTTAGGTCGACTTTTGGGCCAAGCCCCCTTCCTCCTAACGCTTTCAGAAATGTAACTCCTACCACGTAGACTACGCCCCTCACTTTTTGAGAATATTGTATGTTCTATGTCTTATGTTCTGTGTGTTATGGCGATGGTGAAATGAATTGAAATTAACATTGACTATTTCCACATTTGCTAAGATGTTCCCTCACTTGCGTCAATCCCCCCCCCCCCGAAAAAACAGCTCCGACCCAAAATGTGCTATAACCGATATTCTACAGATCGCACGACATAAAAAGAGCGACATTTCACCACCGCTGCGGCGCAAAAGCCGCCTGTAAATATTTGGTCCCGACACAGATCCGGACAAGCCATGGCGAATCATCCATATGTCAGCAATGTGACCAGCGCGAGCGGTCCTAGCGTTTCCTAACGCCGAGGTTATTCTCGGTCCCAAACACTCAGACACTGGGACAGCTGTTTTGTATCCTTACTTGCATCGCACCGCCCATGCACACAGGAGTGCCCAAGGCAATGATCACATATGTGAAGCGCGCTAATAGAACAAATGAAGACACTTATCAAGATAAGTTGACTCTAGTAAAACATTAAACGCCAGAATAAGTCGAGTTTGGGTCTTTTCGATGCCCACTCCCGTTTCCCACTATTGAAAGTATGGAACTATTCATTCCCCCGCTCCACGTCGCCGAGCCGTCCCCATAGGACGGCAGTGCTACTTCGGGGCCGACGCCGGTAGATGTCAGAGCGATCGCGAGTAACGGGCAAACCCAAGCACGGGACGGCATAGCGACCTGGCAACAGGCTTTATTCCGGCTACAAATTTTGCGTCGTTACAACTGATTGAAAGAGCCTTTAATTTTCGTTTCATATTAGTAAAACTTCATGAGAAAGATTGACACACGGCTTAAAATGTCTGTCAGAAAATCGAACCAT